CTTCGGGCACCCCAGACACATGCCTTTCTGAAGCTTCTCTCCAGCCAGCTGCTGCGGACAGACACTTCTGGGAAGACAAGAACTTGTTTCCAGATCCGGTACCCCAGTGGCCATGGGATCCTGTAGCCCAAGAGCTACACTTGCCCTGCAGTCAAGCACCTCACCTGAGCCCTTCGTGTGTGTCTCCAGTGGCTGGGACCAGGCCTGCCTTCTTTACCACTTAGCCATAGTCTTGAACTTGTGGGGAAGGAGGTCTTCTCCATGCCTTGGAAGAAGACACATAATTGATTTCCGTTCTTTTGACTCTGTTTTAAAATTCTCTTTCTAAACTTGGAGTGTTGGACCTTGTTTCTTTCTGACAAAGCTGCAGTCTGGTCCTATGGGTGGGAGAGTAAAGGTGCAGAGAAGAGAAAATCCCCCAAAGCATGAATGTCATGAGTCCCCCCTCTTTGGCATGTAAACCAGCCAAGCCTGGGACTATTTCCAGGAGTCTGCTTTTCAGGGATTCTCTTTGGTGCTGGTACAGGGACCTTTGTTCCAAAGGCAAGGAAGGGGGTCTAAATGCCCTAACCCCTCTTGTTTGTTAGGCTAGCTCTTTCGTGTTCTGTCTTTCCCCTTGGGATGTCCTGTGCTTTGTCTGCTTCAGCCTTCATCCTTCTTGGCTGTTGCTTTTTCTCTCTGGGGCCTCAGGGGCATTTACTTTCCTAGGCAGCTGGAGGGGTATTTCTCTTCACTTGGTTTGCCTACCTAGCTTAATTGCCTCTGGTAACTGGTGCCCCAAAGAGCTCAGGTAAAAGACCCCCTTAGAAGCCTGCAATTTGGGTGTGTCTCACCTTCAAAGATTCGTAATAGTGAATGCTTTAAAAAATAGTCACAAAAGAAGTTTTCCCAGTGTGGAAGTGGGGAAGTGCTGCTGTAATTGGGAGCACAATGGGGTCCTAAAAAAGGTAGAGCCCCATCTCAGCATCACTGCCTTAAATCTTGGCCTCTCACTCCTGGGGCTGGGGACATGGAGTGAATTGCATTCTCTCCTCTATCCTGCCTCCCTTTGTGGTGGGAGTTCTATCCTTGTTTTCCCTGGAGACAAGTGTCACACAGTTCTAGGTGCAAGACACCTCCCACTCAGGACTCACCTCATCATCTTTTCAACTTCTAAATTCTAGGTCCAGCCCCAGGAAGTCACTAAGTGGCCAGACTCTGGAGCTTGGTGTTCTGAGTGCTGGCTGGCATCTTTCTTCAACATTGCGGTGCCACCTCCCCTTCTGTCCTAAGGGTGTAAGGCCTTGTTTTTTCTCTTTGGTGCCACAGAAGTGGAACAGAGTCCCCAAAACCCAAGTGGTCATTTCCCTGGTGTCCATTGGCTGGGCAGGGGATCTGGGGGTCTCTAGTGCTAGCCAAGAACTGAAGAGAAGCATGAGCAGGTTCAGAGGCCTGCTGTGGCTGCAGATTCTGATCTCCTGATATTGTGGATAACCCAAGGGTTAGTCAGCCCTTAGGCCAAATATTGTGCTCTCTGGGCCCAGCCAGTAAGCAATAAGAGGCACTAAGCCTGATCCAGTTTCTGAGACCCTTTCTTGCCCGCCTTTGGATCTCTACATTGATCTGAGTGGATGAACAACCTGTGTCCCTTCCCTGCCACGCTTGTCTAAGTGCCAGGAGTATGTATGACCTGTGACCAGAGCCAAGATGGCTTGGTGGGTGTGCCCCTGCTCCTTGTGCATGAAGCTTTGCTTTCTAGACCACCCGCCTGTCATAACCCTGCCCACCTGCAGTTCTCACCAGCAATGCTGTTCCCTCTTTCCCACCCTTCCCTTCCCTGGAGAAGCAGCTCTGCCAAATAAACCTAAGCCGGGTCCCTCATGTGGGCTAAAGCCAGTCTGCAGTCATTACTTGCTGTCCGGTCTCCAGTCTCATACTGCTAGGAGGCAAGTGATCAATGCAGAATTAGCTCAGTGGACTCAAGCCTCAGTCCTGGAAGAGGACAAGATTGAGAGGGAGCCATGTCATCCTGGCATCTGTTCTACAGCTTCCCACAAGCCCTTCCCATTTGAGGCTTGCCTTTGGGAGGCAATAGGCCACAGTGCCTGGACAACATCCATTCAAGCCATGCCAGGAATCTGCCCACCTGCCAGGTTCAGTTTTTTAAGGTGCCTCTTCAGGGACACAGTGTGTCTCTCTGATTGGGCTTCTAAATTAAAAAAAAAGCCTGATGCTCGTGTCCCTCTCATTGGGGGAGCTTTGGACACAGGACCAGTTTGGAAAAGGGTCAAGTAAGGGTTTCTACTCTGCACATTGTAGAGGGGACACTCTTTAGACCCCTGGGTCCCTTACTAGAGAGGAGTACAGATGTGTCCTGGACCCTAATTATGTGTTTAATTGCTGAATAGATAAGTAAGAAACCTTAAGTCAGTTTGCCTTCAATTAACCTGGGACCTTTATTTTGTTCCTTCCCTCAAAAAAAGATTTTTTTATCATTTTGTAAATTTATAAACTCACCTCTGTTACCAATGGCTTGGAAGCTTCTTTGTGCCAAAGCCTGAGAAGTCTCTAGGCAGTCATTCCCTGGGAAATGGACCTTTTTCCTATCCTGCTGCCCTGCTCGGTCTTCCCAGGGCCTCACTCTTAGGGCAGCAGCAACCTTCCCCACCCCCCAGGTTGTCCTGCATCCATGTCCCAGCCAGTCCAAGAGTCTGGGGAGGTGAGGCCCTTTTTTCCCCCCTCCAAATCTCCAGTTGGTTACTGGCACAGGTGTCTCAGTTACCTTTTTGTAAAATAGGGTTTTCGTTTTGTCCTGGGTTTTTTTTGTTTTTTTTAAGATGGTTAATACCTGCATCTGCCAGGGGAGGGGAGGTTGGAGGCACCAGCTAGCTGGCCTGTTTTCTTGTACAACCTGTGCCTAGAGCAGACCCTCCTCTGAACCCTGTGAGCTTCTGTGCTTATTCCCCTGAGTTTGACATGGTCCGTCCCGTGCCACATTCCCCCTTCAAGATGCCATTTGGAGGGGAGGGGACCTGCTTCCCACTGTGATTGGGCTATGGGATTCTGACTACCTTGGTTACAAATTAATGGTTTGATAAATTTTGTTGTATTCAAAAACTTGAAATGTAGGACGCCATTAAGTGTCTGTTTATATTTTTGGAATATTTGTATTACAGTTAATAAAAGCGGGTTTGAAAAACCTGTCCACGAATGGGCACTGCCTCTTGACTATGCTGCTGTTCATTTGCGCACCACCCTTCTTCCTTCCCAACTGCTTGTGGTTGTAATGATAAGCCAGATGGAGCCTTTGGCTGATCCAGCTGCTACATCCACCTAAGAGACCTGCTTTAGACTCGGCTCTGGTTAAAGGAATCCTTCTATACTAGATCTCCTGGTTCCCATTAGGAACCAAGTTGCCTACCACCTGGGGTGAATCAGACACACCAAGAGATTTGGAGTCTTGACTATACCCCCACTGATGCCTCCAAACAAGGAGCCCAGTAATTCTGAGGCCACCATGATGCACAGCACATAGTAATTGCTCAGATATTCCTATAGCAGTGTATGACTGCTATGGCCCCATGGGCAAAACTGGATGAACTAATGACACTCTCTTTTCAGGGAGACCTGGATGCCCTGGGTGTTTCTTCCCTGCCTCTCCCCTCAGCAGCATAATGAATCCAGATCTACAGTATGGCAAATTTCATATCCTCCCACCTCCTTTCCTGCATTATTGATGGGCTGTGCACTTTTAAAAAATCAATTCTATCAGGGCGTGGACCTGAAGTTGAAAGAGCTTTTAAGGTCTACTCTTTTTGCTGCTTTGAATATGAACAGATAAAGCTTTCCCTCTGGTTTGAATAAGTCAAGCTTGGGGCTAGATTGGCTGTGATTGGCCAGGACTAGGAAAATGCGGTTAAGATGCAAACACAAGCAAATATAACCCAGTGTTTGTGCGGCTATTGCTAATCAGAGGCAGCAGGGTCCGGAACTTCTTGCTTTGGAGTTTTGGGGTGGTGGCTCTTCAGCACTGCTGCTATTTTACTCACCAGGAAACAACCGGTGGGAGAGACGGCAAGGTAAGGTCTGGTTTATGAGAAGTGTGATTGAATAGAGCAATCTTTTAATGAAGGAAAAGAATAGATGCTCTTTAGGGATAAAGCTTTTAAAGAGTTGAGCCAGGAGTTTGTGGCTAGTTTTGTGAACTTTAAGCTTCAAATCTAGAGACAATTTTTCTAGGGACCACTGAGCAAAAAGCACATTTTCAATAGCTGGGCAGCACGCCTTGTGTCTTCTGGGTGGAGGATGGGACGGAGGAGCATGGCAGAAGTTGCCTCTGCCTGGCGTTCATGCATGACTGAGACGTAAGGACCACAGGCTTTCAACCTGGGATTTCACAACTATACCCTACCTTGTCTGCAAGCCCCTTCTAAAGATTTTGGGTAAATAAGATTTGGGAAGGAGGGAGGAAGAGACTGGCTATCGGGGATTTTGATGTCACATTTTCTGAGTGTTGCAGCATGGTAGCCATTCTCTTGAGTTCACCACCTCTCGCATTCAAGAAAGCCTGGCCCAGGGAGTTGAAACCTATCCAGTTTCAAATGCCCCTACTGGGAAATAGGGGCACTCAGGCCTCTGAGACACTAATGCAGATTGATTTGGCTTTTACGGGGTGAACATTTCCTCATCTCCAAAACATGGAGTTCATAAGTCATTATCTTTTCTTACTTGGCCTTCCATCACAAAGTGGAATCGGATATTTTCCCCCCCCTGGCATTTCTAAGCAGCACAGGGTGGGGCAGCACAAGTTATCAAATTAGATCCTCAAATACTGGGTGCTTCGCGTCACTGCTTTGCTTTGGTCCGACTGGAATAGTAGACAAAGCGTTTCAGTGTTTGTCATTGTTCGTTTCTGTTTGGTGTTTTTCTTTTTTGCCAAAGTCTTTATTAGATAATGGTGCGTATCATCCAAAGCTGGCTGCACCCACTGAGGTTCAGGACATGAATGGTGAGGCCAGCTGCCCCTCACACAATGTGCTTCCAAAGAGCAAACATCCACCTAGTGCATGCTGGTGTGTGTTGTTTAGGGGTGGTGGTTTTGTTGTTTGGGGTTTTTTAATCTACATAAAACTACTGCTCATCAATCCCTCTTTATCTTAGAAAAACTAAACTAGCATTCATTATGCTTATTTGCAGCAGATTACAAATTCCTTGAGAGCAGGAACCAAGAATTTTCATTATATACAACCCCTCCCTGATGGTGTACATGCCCAAGACACACCTTTAATAAATAGTCTGTGGTCACAATTCACACAGATGCCTCTAGCCACTTCTCCTTTCTCACCATTTTGCCACCTTGTCTAGAGGAACTGGAGACCCCTGAGCGGCCTCTTGAACAGAGAAATCTGCCTCAGTCAGTGGGACGTAGCCAGAGCCCTGCTCTCCCAGGACTGCATTTGGGAGTTAGTGAGGACATCTGCCCACAGCCAACACCAGGACACACCCACCTTCCCCACCCAACCCTACCATTTTCTTTTTGCAAAGCACAGAGAATATGTTAGTGATATGATGAGAAGAAAGCATAGCTTAAAATTCAGGACAGTTTACTTTTTAAAAAAAACATGGAAAGTAAGCCCAAATAAGTCACAAAGTCCGTTGTGGAGAGGATCTGGCATGCAGAGAATCTGGAGTGGAGGTAATGAGAAGAAGGGGTTTTAACTTGTTTTTTTTTTGCCCCCTGTTCTCCACACTAAGTTTTCTTTCCTAGTGATCCACTGAAGTTAGAAACGTTTAGGAAGTACTACAACACATTGAAGTAGTTAAAAGCACAGGTTTCAAAAATCAGACCTAGGGTAAGTTACTTAACCTCTCTGAACTTTACTAGTCTAAAGTGAATGCTCACACCTTCAGAGAATTAAATGACATACCTGTAAAATACAGCCACACAGGGCTTCACACACCATCACGGATGCACAAATCACTGCAGATCTCTTAATGAGGGAAGTGACAAGTAGAAAACAGTCCTGGGTAGGATCCCAGTGCTTACAAATGAGCATGGACCAATCCCAGGGGAACACGGTTCGAATCCACCAGATGCTCTGCCGGAGAAGGAGGCGCAATATCCTCCTGTACCAGTCAGATTTGATTTGACGGTACACGCACACAAAATTAAAAAAAAAACCAAAACAAATGGACATGGACAAGTCATTTCCCTCATCATTTGTGAAGTGGGGGGGCCTGCATCACAGGACACGGCACAATCACTGAGAGAGTGGGAAGTGAATTGGGAAAGCTCGGTCAATGGAGGCTATGAGAAGTGTCATCTCCGCTTTTGCCCTGTGATGTTGCAGTCTGAGAAGACCGCACCATGTCTCTGAGCAGTGCCTTCAGAGCTGTGGGCAACGACCCTGGGATCATCACCTGGAGAATAGAGGTGAGCAGAGAGGGCCCCAAGACTCCACCCCTTGGTTTGGAGCAGAAGGGCCTGGCGCCCAGTCTGGATCCCAAATAGTGAGAGGCAGCATCAAAGAGCCAGGTTTCCCATCTGTGGCCTCTCATGGGGACAGAAACAGGTAGATGGCAGGTGGCGGGACTGCACCTAGTGCTGCAGAGCCATGCTGCAAACAAAATAAGCGTATCCTTTATCCAGCCATCTGCTCATTGAGTGTGCTTCCAGTAAGGGCCCAGAGGGATGGGTGGGGCGGGTCAGCAGGCTTTCAGAGGCTTCAGTCAGAAAAACAGAGCGCTTCCTCCAGCTGATTTTCAGAGTCCTAAATTGCACCAGAGATTGCTCATCCTGCTGGATTCTAACCACCTGTCTTTGTGTTACAACTTCTTACCCACTAGGCCGCCAGAGCTCACTCATGGGCACACTAGTTCCTGCAGTGTGTGAGGGAAGAGAGGCTGCTGAGGTGGGCAGCTGCTCGTCCTTTCTCCTCTGGCCCACGCCCCTTTGCTTGACTGAGCTCTGAGCTGGGAACTGTCCACATGTGGGCAGCGCCACCTGCGTGACACAGGGCCCTCCTTAGAGTCCAGTCAGTTACTGTTGCATAAAACCCAGCGGTGACCCTTTCTCCAGTGTTCTTGATTGTTATTATTGTGATGTTGAGTCAGAACCGACTCATCACTGACCCTCCAGCTTTTCAGAAGCAGTAAGCATGAGAGTCTACCGTCCGTCCTTCTCCAGTGGAACGGCAGGTGGATTTGAACCACCTATGTTTGGGATTACAGCACAGATTTTTACCACTAGACCACCAGAGCTCCCAGCTAAAGGGAGTCCAATAGCTTCCCAGCCAGATAGATGCTAAGAGCTTGTAGAGATCCAGATCACTTCTGTTTCCTAAGACTCTTAGTTTATTAAAAACCTACCAGGGGCTGTAATAACAAAAATGATGGCATAGTAAGTATTTTTAAACTCAACATGCACATTTCATATATAACACACGCTAATATGGCTACTAGCCATACACATGCTAGTATGGCTAGTATGGTAACTAGCTCTGAGCCTAGTGGTAAGGAGTTTCACTGCCAACCCAAAGGCACATAATTTGAGTCCAAAAGCCACCTTGCAGGAGAAAGATGAGCATTCTCCTCTTGTGCAATTTACAGCCACTGAAAATCCTCTGGAGGGTCAGCAATAAATCGGTTCCAACTTGATGGTACATAACAAGAACAAAGTATGCTACAGATTTCTTCTCTTGGAAATGGTGAAGGAAAATAGAAATCTGAGGCTATGTGAGTAGCCTTCCCATGACAAGCCATACATACAGGTACTTCAGGGCGCTGGGCCAACTGTTCCCAAATAGAGGATGTTCAGCCTGGAGCCTCCTATCTCATAGCCCTGCCGAATCCCAGCTTGCTTTCGTGTCTTGGCCACACACTGGTCAGAGCTAGGAGACAGTGTTGGAGGCACTGCAGTCGCTGCTTAGAGTCAATGTTTCTACTTGCTAGTTTATATCCAACTCTTCTCCCTGCAAAGCCCAGAGGTGACTCACAAGGCTGCCCACAATATATCAAAATGAGGAGGAGAAGGAGGAGGAAGAAGTGAGGGGAAACCAGGACAGAGGCCCCAATGTGGACCCAAGGTGATATAAGCAGAGCTCTGCAGAAGTCTGAGGAGCGGCCAAGGGAATCCTGTGACTGACGCCAGTCTGTATTCCCAGTAGGAATGTCTCCTCAAGCTTTCCCTGAGCCTGGGCCACACAATGTGAGAGGAGAGGAGGCTGGAGGGAAGGGACAAGGGTGGGCCCAGCCTGTACACGCTTCTTACTTATCCTCTAGAAAATGGAGTTAGCACTGGTGCCCTTGAGTGCTCACGGCAGCTTCTACGAGGGGGACTGCTACGTTGTCCTCTCAGTGAGTACATCCCCACATCCTTGCCAGCTTCACTCAGTCCCTGGGCGTACAGGTGAGGGAAGGTCCCCAGGCCCCTGCCATCTGATTCGTCCTCAGTGTTGCACAGCACAAGCCTCCTGTTTGGCAATCAAAGGCCGTCCTTAGGCCAGGGCTTGTGACATCACCTTGGAGGGCAGCAGTGAGGGCCCTCAGCCTAAACCTCACCGGGCAGCCCACAAGCCCCTTTCCTCCCCGGGCTAAAAGGCCAGATCAGTTAGTTCTAGGCCTGTCTCTGGCCTTAAGTGCCCCTTCTAGTTGAGGAACAGTCTCCCACCAGGCTAATATTTGACAGGGCCACACAGGTGTACACAGCATGCATGCCAGCTGAAAAGAGAAGAGCCTGTGACTCAGAAACAAATGCAGAAAGGAATCTTGTCCTCCAACTCTGACAAGATCTCTGCTACTCCTCATTTATTTTGAAAACAAGAAGCTGTCCCCAAACGTAGGGAGGAATTTTGGCTGCAAAACCTTAAGCCCCTGTACAGAAAGGACACACTGACCGAGGTCCTGAGCCTGCCCATGGCAAGGCCCTAGGCATGTGCTGCCACTTCCCCAGGAGCAAAGGGAAGGCAAGTCAGCCCCCCGACCTGATCTCCTTGGTCCCACCCCAGACCCGAAGGGCAGGAAGTCTGCTCTCCCAGGACATCCACTACTGGATCGGGAAGGACTCCTCTCAGGATGAGCAGAGCTGTGCAGCCATCTACACCACACAGCTGGACGACTACCTGGGAGGCAGCCCCGTGCAGCACCGAGAAGTCCAGGACCACGAGTCTGACACCTTCCGTGGCTACTTCAAGCATGGCATCATGTGAGTAACTCCTTGCCACTTTCTGTTGTGTACCGTCAAGGTGGAACCAACTCCCACAGACCCTCCAGCAGGTTTTCAGAGGCAGTGAATCCTACCAGAGGAGATTGCCCATCTTTCTCCCATGAAGCAGCTAGTGGATTTGAACCACGTGCTTTTGGATTGGTAGCACAGCTCCTTACCACTAAGCCACCAAAACTCCCTAAAGACGCAGTAGTAGAGGGCAAAGATGATAATGTACCATGAACGGAGGGATTTAGTGAAGAATTTGATGTTTACACTTGAGATTTTTTTTAAGAGAGAGGACACTGGACTACCAATGCACTTGTGAATTCTAAGGCTGGGCCAGTGCCAACATCGCGTCTGCAGTCACCTGTGATGCGCCCCCGGCACAGAGCCCCTCGGAAGATCACACTCTCTTGTTGCTGACTCATAGCTGACTCTTTAGTGGGTTTTCAGAGGCTGCAAATCACACAGGAGATTGCCCACCTTTCTCCCAAAGGGCAGCTGATGGATTTGAACAGTGTGACTTTGAGTTGGCATCACAACTCCTTACCCACTAGGCCATCAGGTCACAAAGGAACCTGGAGTTACAGCCCCTTTGTTTTAGGATTGCTTTCTGCATTTCCTGAAAAAGAGTGAAAGGTGTGGAGGTGAGGGCAGAGATGGAGCTGGGGCTGGTCAGGCAGTGGGTGGGCCTTAAAGCTGTGGTGTCATTAATGAGGCTGTTGCTCTTCCTTCAGGCCTCCCACCCCCCTCAAACACTGATACTCAGACAGTTCCTAGAATAAAACACAGGTGTTTGTAACCAAGGCTCTCACCCTTCAGAACCCTTTTTCTCATCTTAAGATCTCAGCTTAGATTTCACTTCTTCAGAGATTTCCCTAAACACCCTATCAAAAAGTCAGTCACCATGTCTACTTCTGCAAAGGGAGCTGTACCTCATTTATTTGCTGTCTGTCTCCCTCATGGGCAGGAGCTGCACCTGTGTGACTCACTGCTGTCTCCCCCATACAGAGCACACAGCAGGTGTTTAATAAATAACTGAATGGATTGTCCCACAGTTACAAGAAGGGAGGTGTGGCCACCGGGATGAAGCATACAGAGACCAACACCTATGATGTGAAGCGGCTGCTGCATGTGAAGGGAAAGAGAAATATCAGGGCGACCGAGGTAAGTACTGCCCACTCTGTCCTAGCCCAGGGCCCCCCAACCGGGCACCTAAGAATTCCTCCTGGAAAATGCCTAGCCCTCATTTGCAGGTGGAGTTGAGCTGGGACAGTTTTAACCGAGGTGATGTCTTCTTGATGGACCTCGGAAAAGTCATCATCCAATGGAATGGCCCCGAGAGCAACAGCAAGGAACGCCTGAAGGTTTGGCCACTTCTAGTTTTCATGCTCTCCTCAGCCCTCAAATCTGATCTTGGGGTTTGCACTCTCGCAGATGCCCTTTCCTTCCTCCTTCCCTGCTGGCTTTCCCCTAAGATTCATAAAGGACCCTGTCTTGGAGTAGAGTGTCTTGGAGACATGCCAGGTCCATGGCGTCTCACTACCCCTGCGCTCTTCAGCATCAGAATAGCTTCTGTGTCTGGAGTCCAGTCTGCTCCTTACAAAGCAATCAGATGATAAGGGCCCAGCCCCAATGAGCTGAATGCCTCGTGGGCTCTTTTTTACAGGCTATGCTCCTGGCAAAGGATATTCGGGACAGGGAGCGAGGGGGCCGTGCTGAAATAGGAGTAATTGAGGGAGACAAGGAGGCAGCCAGCCCAGAGTTGCTGAAGGTCCTTCAGGACACCCTTGGCCGACGCTCCATTATCAAGCCTGCAATCCCTGATGAGATCATAGATCAGCAACAGAAATCAAACATCATGTTGTACCAGTAAGCAGTGAAACCTTGTGTGGCTAGAAGCTGGGGTGGGAGGAAGATGATGTCCCCTAGAAAAGCAGGCACCTTTGCTTGGCTCCCCATCTTGGGTGTAACTATCTAGCTTTCTTCTTAGTCCTTTTCCAGTGCAGCTCCAAGAAGGGGCTTGGTGTTGCTCCACTCAAGGAGGCAGCTCTCTTCTGTTATTGTTAGCAACTCCTCCTAACCTCTTAGGGAGATCTTTCCTTTGTTCTGGTTCATATACACCAGGGATTGGATAGGAATAATGCTTGTATAAGAGAAAGGGGCAAAAGTCTCTAGAGTCCAATCCGCTATTACCATCTGCAGTTCAAGTCATTCCTGTTGTAAGAAGTCAATCTTTAGAATAAACTCCACAATAAAACACAACCAGGAAATACACACACCCCTTAAATTGTCGACAAGATACTTTATAGCATAGGCGATGAAGTAAACCTCATCATTTCTCCAGTGTCTCAGACTCAGCTGGGCAGCTGGCTGTCACAGAAGTCGCCACGAGGCCTCTGGTCCAAGAATTACTGAACCATGATGTAAGTAGAACCTAGGTGGGCTGAGCTCGGGAAGCTGGGGCTAGCTTCAGAGTAAATGCCGGGAACAGCAGTAACCTCTTTTATTCCTGAATGCTTCAGGATTGCTACATCCTGGACCAAAGTGGAACCAAGATCTACGTGTGGAAAGGAAAAGGAGCCACCAAGGTTGAGAAACAGATGGCAATGTCCAAAGCCCTGGTAGGAACTCCACATGTGCAACAGTATCCAAAGATTCTGTTGCTCACACTTCGCTTGCGTTCTTTCTCAACTCTCACTGTTGTCAAGTCTGAACTAACTTATGGCTGATCACCAGCAGGTTTTCCCGAGGCTATAAAGCATATGGGAGGAGAGGAGATTGCCCGTCTTTGTCTCAGGGAGCAGCTGATGGATTCGAACCATCAGAGAAGGCACCACCCTGCGGTTAACAGCACAGCTCCCTACAGATTAGGCCACCAGAGCCCCCCACATGTGTCCAGAGAACCATTATTAGGTGCTTGAACATAGAGCTTTGTAACCCATGTAGATATGGGCTTCAGACAGATAATCCAAGCCTGGGATTAAAATCCAGATTTTGCCTTTTCCAGAGGAGTGATCTAAAGACTATTTTCATACCCATTGCCATCAAGTAAGAACCAAATCAGTGATCTAAAGACTGTTTTCATACCCATTGCCATCAAGTAAGAAGAACCAGCTCATAGCTGACTCTCTAGTGGGTTTTCAGAGTCTGTAAATTGCATGCGAGGAAACTGCACATGCTTCTTCTGAGGAGCAGCTGGTGGATTCCAGCCTTAAGCCTTTGGTTTGGGCAGCACAACTCTCTAGGCTACCAGAGTTCATTCCTTAAAACCCTCATCTCAAGTTTCCTCATTGCTAATATGGAGATAATAATATTCATCTTAGGAAGTTGTTGTGAGATTAAATAATGTTCATAAAGCATTCAGGACAATACCTGCATAATTACTCCTCAGTGTGTTTGCATCAGAACTGACTCACAGCTGACCCTTCTGCACACTGGGTATTATTGAATATCATACATCAAGGTTAATGGTTTTGTCCTCAAAGAATTTATCATAGACTTCAGGCCCACACAGCCAAACTAAACAAGATGTGCTTACAAAGCAGTGCGTAAAGTAATGGGATGCAAAGTCAGTGAGGTATGTAGGTGCCTAGAGGACAGACTAGAAGGTCTCATAAAACATCTTGTATTTATAATAATCATATCATAGCATGTTGTTGAAGAGATGCCAAAACACTCCATTCGGTCCCTAGGCAGCTGTGATTCAGAATTTGTCTGAATCCCAGAGGGGAGCAAACCTATCAGCTGATTTCATCTGGGGGGAACTCCCAAACATCCAAAGAATCTAGTGCATCCCTCAACCGACCCTCCTCTCTGGGGTTGGGGGGGGGGGTCTGCAGAGTTTCATCAAGATGAAGGGCTACCCCAGCAGCACCAACATAGAGACTGTCAACGACGGTGCCGAGTCAGCCATGTTCAAGCAGCTGTTCCAGAAATGGACAGTGAAAGACCAGACCATGGGCCTGGGGAAAACATTCAACATTGGGAAAATCGGTGAGACTGCCCCCTCCCCCCAGATCCCCTCTCACTGCTGAGAAGCTCTAGAGAGGCCAGTGTCACTGCTGCAAAATCACTTTACTTTATCCAATTGCCTTCACAACCCCTTCTCTGCAGCCAAAGTTGTCCAGAACAAGTTTGACGTGACTGTACTGCACAACAAGCCAGAGGTGGCTGCCCAGGAGAGAATGTTTGATGATGGCAGTGGGAAAGTTGAGGTAAGCCCAGTGGTTTGAATTTCTAGGCAGGCAGCTTGGGTACACTCGGTGGTTCTTGCCACAGAGAAGGGAGCAGACGGTTCTGGGTCTGCCCTGCTTTACTTCTTACCTCTGGTTCCGGGTCATGATCTCGAAGAGGCTCCCAGATCTTCAGTCCTCCCACAATTCTTCAGGAAGGTGAAAGGCAGATAGGCAAATGTGCTATCAGTAACTCACCTGGCAGGTATTCAAATCATCTCTCAGTCAGCCAGAGGCCAAGGTGTAATGGGATGCTCATGGCCAGGCCACAGGCTTGTTCTAGTTCTTGGGATTCAAATCATGCAAATGTGTTGAGCTTTACTAATGGAAAAGAAGAAACAGAGGGGGAAGGGATTCTTTGTGTGGATGTTCACACCTCACCACCTGGACTGTAAGCATGGCCCAGGTCCCTTGACGTGTCTTTCCTAACATGACCCTCTTTTCTGGGGAAATGTGTCTGCTTCCACACTCAGGTCTGGAGGATTGAAAACCTGGAGCTGGTCCCTGTAGAGCATCAGTGGTATGGCTTCTTTTACGGAGGCGACTGCTATCTGGTTCTCTATACATATAATGTGACTGGGAAGCCTCATTACATCTTGTACATCTGGCAAGTAGGTCTGGCCAGGTGCCTGGGTTGGGATCCTGAAGCCCCTCCAGCCATTTGTCTGGGGTGGAGGCAGAGGAACCCCACACTGTCACTCTGCAGGGCCGTCACGCCACCCAGGATGAGCTGGCAGCCTCAGCCTACCAGGCCGTGGAGGTGGATCAGCAGTTCGATGGGGCCCCTGTGCAGGTTCGAGTAGCCATGGGGAAGGAGCCACGCCACTTCATGACCATCTTCAAAGGGAAGCTGGTTATCTTTGAGGTGAGGGTCGCCAGGTGAAATTCTACCTTCAACAAGAAAGCTCAGAATACTTAGCCAGCAGGAACCTCCAGTAGTGGAGAGGAGCAGAGCAGGGAAACGCAGAGACACAGAGGGAGAAGAGAATCAATCTGGCACACTTCAGTGAATCCCACTTGCCTAGTCTTCACGTCCCAACCATCTAACGTTCAAGGTCTTTTGTAATCTAACAATATTACCTGTGCAAGTCATTTCTCTCAACTTCCTAATGCTCCAGACAGGTCGATCTCCTCATTAGCTCTACCTCTTCACCTCCCCAACAGAATGTGCCTTCTGCTTTCCAAATCTACACAGCCCAAGTCCCACTTCTTCCATGAACTCTTGGCTGAAGCACTACAAAGCAGTTGGTGAAAGGCACATGCTTGACACCACACAACCCTGGAGTCAAACCCAAGCCCTGTCATTTAAAAGACAGGTTACTGAGCCTCAGTTTCCCTATTTATACTGTGGATTCAGCACCACTCAACCCATTGCCAGAGTCAGAATCAACACATAGCCGACCCTCCAGTAGGTTTTCAGAGGCTGTAAATGGCACAGGAGGAGACTGTCTATATTTGTCTCACAGAGCAGCTGATAGATTCTAACTACTGTTCTTTGGGTTGGCAGTGCAACTCCTTACCACTGGGCCACCAAGGCTATCTATACTGCAAGATAATAATATCTATTTCATAGGTTATTAGGAGGAACAATCAATTGATGTTGGTAAATCACCAGTCACAGAGCCTGGGATAAAGTTCTCAGAATGAAAACTAATATTATTGGTACCATAATTCCAGCTCAGTTTGGCCTCTCCATTAGCCTCAAAACTCTTAAAGGGCAGACTGTGTCAAACAACCTTACATTCTCCACAAAGGAGCACTCACATAGTTCTCCTTAGATTTCTAGACACTGCTTTTCTTCTTTTTCTAGGGTGGGACATCCAGGAAGGGAAATGTTGAGCCCGACCCTCCCGTGAGGCTCTTCCAAATTCAGGGAAATGACAAATCTAACACCAAAGCCGTGGAAGTGCCAGCCTTTGCATCCTCGCTAAACTCCAACGATGTCTTTCTACTGCGCACCCAGGCAGAACACTACCTGTGGTATGGCAAGGTAAGAAGGCTGGGCCCTGTTCAACAATGAATGAATGGAAATCCAAAGTCTCTGTAAATTTTTACTGAAATTAATAATAAATTTAAATAAAATTTAAAAATAAAAACAATTTTTAAAAAAGGCTGGGCCCAGTGCTTGGACCAGCCCCAGGGTCCAGCCCCGTGCCCACCCCCATGTCAGCAAGGTCAAAGGTCCTAAAGAGCAGGCTGAGGCAGTCTCCACAAGAGGAGGATCTTTTAGGGAAAGGATCTTCAGAGGGGCCACCAACATTCATCACAATTAATCTTCCAGTGAGACACAAACAGCAAGAGACACACACACTTCTAAAAGGATGGCAGCTGGGTGAGTCAATCTTTCCACACCAGTTTAGTGGCTATAGCAGTACACTTAAACAAGACAAAACCAAACCACTGGAAATCATGCTTGTGTCAATTCACATTTTTATCTGCATGTGCATTTCTGAAAAACATAAATTGTTATACAATAGAGAAATGAACATGCAAAAGATGCTCAACAACATTAACCATTAGGGAAATGCAAATTCAAACCACAGAGAGGTTCTATTAAACACTGACTAGAATGGCTAAAAGAAAATTAGTATCAAGTGCTAGTAAAGATGCAGACTCAGAACACTCATCTTTTGCTAGTGGGAATGCAGAAGGATCAATCGCCTTGACAGGGTCTTTAAAAGTTAAACATATACCCCAAAATCCCACTCCTGAGTAACTTGCTCACATGAAATATATCCCTGTTTTTACACAATAACCTGTATATAAATGTTGATAGCAGCTTTATCATAGTTTCCAAAAATGAGAAACAACCCAGTTGGCCAATGGATAAACAAACAGTGGTGTATCCAAACAATGACATACTTTTACTACCCTGGGATAAGGAGGGAATAGCCACCAATACCCACAACGTGGGTGAATCTCAAATGCATTGCTAAGCAAAATAGGCCAGACTCAAAGGCTACATTATTATTGTGTGATTTCATTTACATTACTTTCTGAAAAAAGTAAAGTCATTAGTGACAGACAACAGATTAGTGGTTGCCAGAAGCTGGAATAGGAAAGAAGCACAAGGCAATTTGGGAGTGAAGAGTGAGGATATTGTCTTAAATCTTAATTGATGGTCTTGGTAGAATTTTTCAAAACTCACAGAACTGTACACTAAAAAAAGAATGAGTTTTTCTTTGTCATTGTTAGGTGTCCGCAAGTCTGCAACTCACAGTATAGTGACCCTAGGAACCACAGATCTGAGCCTTGCCCTATTCAGCACCATCCTCACCACCTTTTATATGCTGAAACCCAAGGTTACAGTCACTGAATCATTCCATCCTGTTGATGGTCTTCCTCTCTTTTTACTATCTTGTTGTTGTTAGGTGTTGTCAACTCACAGCAATCCCATGAACAACAGATCTGAACCCTGTCCTGTCCTGTGCCAACCTCTGACACACTTGAGTCCACTGCTGCAGTCACTGTGTCAGTCCATCTTGCTGGGGTCTTCCTTTCTTTTGCTGACCTTTCCTAGCATGGTGTCCAGTTTGGCAGCTGGTCCCCAACCACTCTGAGCTGTTAGTTGAACAATGTCTAATGCCACATGAAGGGATCCATCGTGTGAGGCTAACAATCTCTGCTCTCCACACCTCATTCAGGGGTCTAGCGGGGACGAGAGGGCAATGGCTAAGGAGCTGGCCGAGGTTCTCTGTGACGGCAGTGAGAACACTGTGGCCGAGGGCCAGGAGCCGGTGGAGTTCTGGGACCTGCTGGGAGGGAAAGCACCCTATGCCAATGACAAAAGGTATTCCTGCTCTTCTTGGCTCCCCCTGCCTTCCAGGCCTGAGAACTACACAAACTCTGATGCTCCTCTCATTTGGAAAAGCATGATTTCTAAGACACTTAGTTTCTAGAGCAATTAAACGGATTGTATTGCAGGCTGCAGCAGGAAACCCTAGATGTACAGCCCCGTCTCTTTGAATCTTCTAATAAGACTGGCCGGTTCATTGTCACCGAGATCACAGACTTCACCCAGGATGACCTGAACCCCGGAGACGTGATGCTCCTGGATACCTGGGATCAGGTAAGACATAATCAGAAAACTTAACACTGCTTTTGTGTAATACCCCAGCCCAGAATAAACACAAAGTTGGTGATGTCGTTACGTACAGTCGAGTCAGAACCAACTCATGGCTGACTCTTCAGCAGGTTATCAGCAGTAAGTCGCATGGGTCACCTGGGAGGAGACTGCCCATCTTTCCCCATGAAACACAGTGTAGTGCTGGACAGTTCATAGTCACACATTTGTCACCAGTGAGCAAAGGAAGAGCTCACATTTTCCCAGGGTCAGAGAGAGCAGGGTATGTTTGAAATACTCATCTTGCTCTGGGAAAATCAGCCATCCATCGTCATGCATTCTGTTCTCTTAGGCCCAACAGCAGTCTGGAGACCTAGACCATTTGTGGAGCAGCTAGAGTGAAGGGAGTTGCTCTCCACGCGGCACTGTCGTTTTGGTTTAGCCAATTCTGTGCACTCCCAGCGTGCCAGGCCTGTGCTGAGTGTGGTGTCACCAAGGTCAAGAGCCCTTGCCCACAGGATTAACCGGCAAGAGAGGGAGCCAGGGGAGCACAAACAGGAGAATTCAACATAGCTTAGGGAGAGGCTGAGAATTCCCGGAGGAAATGTCCCCGGAACAAAGGGTGAGCAGGCCTCCTTGAGGCAAAGGTGGAGAAGGCATTCCAGACAAAGGACACGGCACAAGTAAAAGCAAGGCATGGACTATTCCAGTATACAGATCACTAAGAAATATTACCGGGACGTCAATGGGGTTAAGGAGTAACTTAGAGATGAAGCTAAAGAAGTAGGTATGAGCCTTACCAACCATGACAGGAAGTTTTAAATTTATCCTGAAAACTTCACCAAAAGCACGAGAGTAATAGGGTCACATTATGCTTTAGGAAACTCACTCCAGTAACTCCAGGGGGAAGGGAGGACAGGAAGAAGATATGGGATAATACGACTGTCCACTAGGAGGCCAGTCAATCAGCTATTACCATAGTTAAGCAAGAGCTGCTGTGGGTCTGTAATAATGAGGAGGAGGGACAAAGGGATGGGGATAGAGTTGTCAAATACAAATAGAGAGTTGGCCAGCCTTGACGGCTGACTGGACTGGGAGGAGGGCTTCTAGGAGACCCTCAGGTTTCTACCTTAGTGGAATACATAGATGTCACTCACCAAGAGATCCAGGCATAATTCAAAAAGAAAAAGCATTCTTTTGGGGGTATTCTTCTTGAAATGCTTGGAGACAACTAAGCTGAAGTGTTTTGCACTACATTAAGCTGCATTCAGAACAGATAAAGATTTGGAAGAACATGGATGTATTGAAAAGTAAAATAATATTAAGCTGATTGTTCAAAAATCTTTCCACTGAGCAAACTAGGCTAGGAACATTTTCTAAAATTGCTAATTGCTGGAGGAGGAAGACATTTTTTTTTATTTTATGTGTGTGTGTGTACCATCAAATCAGATCTGACTGGCACAGGAGGAGATTGTTCCTCTTTCTCCAGCAGAGCATCTGGTGGATTTGAACCATGCACCTCTGGGATTGCAGTACACCTTCTTGCCACTAGGCCACCAGATCTCACCGAGGAAGCCATTTTGAGTATGAGCTAGTATTTAAATCCCTGGTACAAGAATATTGAAAACTATTCCATCTCTACAGGTGTTTTTGTGGATTGGGGCTGAGGCCAACGCCACAGAGAAGGAGAGAGCCCTTATCACAGCCCAGGAGTACCTGCACACCCACCCCAGTGGCCGAGACACTGACACTCCAATCCTGATCATTAAACAGGGATTTGAGCCTCCCATCTTCACAGGCTGGTTCCTGGCATGGGACCCTCACATTTGGAGTGTAAGAACATAGAGAATGGAAAAGAAAATCCTGGAGCCCAGGCAATTCAGAACTAAATAATGGCTGACTAGGAGAGGATGGAGAGGTAGCTGACATAGGGCTGAGTGAGACCTCATTTCTTCTATTCCTCTATTTGACTTTCTCATTCTCCCCCATTACAGGAGTGAGCTGGAAAAGACATACATTATCAAGGATAAGTGGTTTATACAAGTAACAGTTTATAAAGTGCATACCAACACATTATCTTTTGCTCTTTACAGAAATCCTGTGATATAGCCAGGCAAAGTGTGATGTTTCTGTTTTACAATTGAGAAAGTTAAGCCAGATAGGTTATATATCTAAAGTCACAGCCCATAATCACAAGATTTTTTTTTAACTCCTGGTCAACTATTCTTCCTCAAATCTTAAATAGAGAAATGAGGGCATTTTTTTTAATGCATGTTTTATCACTGTCCAATCCTGAATAGAACCAGAAGTGGCACATTTTCATTTTTCTCTCTGACTTGTTTTCTAGTTGCTTCATTTTCTTTCTTCAGTTTGCTCTGTGTGGGGTGGGGCTGCTCAGTTTTGTTTCAGATTTTTGTTTCTCCTGAGTGTACTGATCAGGTGTGAGATGTATCTCTCCTATAAGCAGCACATCATCTTGTGTTTTCTCTCTTGTCTCAGGCAGGAAAATCATATGAGCAATTAAAAGAAGAGCTGGGAGATGCTGCTGCTATCGTAAGAATAACTTCTGTGAGTTTATGTTAAGAATTTCATTACATTCCCCCAAAATACGTGTTGTGAATCCTAACTTCTATGCCTGTGGTTATAATCCCATATGGAAACAAGTGTTTGTTATGTTGGCTAGAGAGGACTAGTTGTAGGGTGTATCTTGAGTCAGACCTCTTTTGAGATATAAAAGAGTTCAAACTAAATAAGATGAGGGAAGACAGATGCCAGGCCCTATCAAGATCACCCAGAGAAAAGCTGAGAGAGGTAAGTACTTTCCTCCAGAGTCCAAAGAGAGCTCCCCTCTACTGCTGGTACCCTGAATTTAGACTTCTATTCACTTAAACTGTGAAAAAAGATATTTCTGTTTGTTATTCACTTGTGTTATTCTATGTTGGTGGTGGTGGTGGGTGTCACCAAGGTAGAGCCAACTCTTAGTTGACACTCCAAGTGGGTTTTCAGAGGCAGTATATTGCACTGGAAGAGATTACCCAGCCTTCTTCCCACAGAGCAGCTGATAGATTCATACTGCAAGCCTTTGCGATAGTAGCACAGCTTCTTACCATTAGGTCACCAGAGACAGGTTTGTACTTAGAGAAGTCAGTCACACAGGCATCCAGTAACAAAGAGCAATACCACAGATGCCACATAGGAAAAACCCTGTCTTGTCCCTCTTAGCTTTACTCTTAAGTCATCCATTTTGATATAAAGATTTTTTCAATCAATAGAAAAGCAGGTCTCAGAGCAAACTTCCATTTTTTTAGCCAACTTTCAGAATTGCTGTTTACAAAAACCCCTAATTTTATTCTTTACCTGCCATTCAGCAGGGATTAAATTTATTATTGATCCTTTTTTGAAATAATAAAGTTTTAACCCAAATGACATTTTTACCAGTGCAGAGAAACTTGGGCCATCTACCCCTATTTTAATAGGGAGCTCTGGTGGCCTAATGTTAAGAATTCATGCTGCAATCCTGAAGATACCCAGTTCAAATCCACCAGCTGCTCCAGGAGATAAGGATGGGCAATCTCCAGCTGTGCAGTTACTGCCTCTGAAAACCCCCTGGAGGATCGGCTATGGGTTGGTTCCACCTTGATGATACACAACCACCACTTCTATTTTAATAGTTGAGGGAAACAAAGTCTCTGCAAGTAAAAGTGTCAAGAGAAGGTATGCAATCCTAGTATGTAAATTAGATTTGTGCCAAACTGGGTATATATCTATACTGCCCAAAAAAAGTGTGGTGGTTTTTTTTTTTAAAATCCCCTAAGATTTACCTTTTGGTTGTTGTTAGGTGCCATCAAGTTGAATGACTCATAATGACCCTATGAACAACAGATCTGAGCCCTGTCCTGTCCTGTGCCATCTTCACAATGCTTGAACCACTGTTACAGTCACTATGTCAGTCCATCTGATTGAGGGTCATCCCTCTCTTAAGGAATAGCCTCTCCTAGCAACATGTATGTGAAACTAAGCATTATCATCTTTGCCTTCAAGAAGCACTCTAGTCACACATTCTCCAAGACATATCTGGCAGTCCATGGTGTATTCCATTCTCTTTTCCAACACCACAGCAATTCTCCTGTCGTCCTTATTTATTGTCCAGCTCTCAGACGCATAGCAAGTGATTGAAAAGACCGTATCTTACATATACTAAGTTAGTATTCTTGAGCAATATCCCAAAATCTGAATTTTTTTCGCTCCCAGATGATTCTAATATGCAACCAGGTTTATTATAGTCCCCTGTTCTAAAAGATGGAATGTTAAATATTATGCATATACAGAACTATATAACTAGACAAGCATTAAGGTGTTTGGGTTTTTTTTCCTCTCCTGTGCTTGTATTCTTACCTAGGACATGAGGAACACAAACCTTTCCCTGAATTCTGATGACAGGGAGCCAAAATATTACCCTATAGAAGTTCTCTTGAAAAATCAAAGTCAGGAGCTGCCAAAGGATGTGAACCCTGCCAAAAAGGAGGTGAGTGGCTGAAGGAAGTGTCTGCTGTAAGGGGAACTCTCATGATTAAAGCACCAATTTCAGTAAAGAGTCTGGGATGGGGTGGCAGCCTACAGACACCCAACACCCATCTGAGCTCTTCAGCCACCACACAGCCAGCTCCTTCTCATCATGTAAGCACAACTCCATCCTCAGGAGGCCCTCTCTAGCACTGTCTCTCTGTACTCCCCTTACACTGGCTGGCCATCTTCCTCTCTACTAAATGCTTAAGAGTACGGATCTTAAACATCTTGTTCACCATCATAGTCTCAACTGTTTTAGCACCTTTAACAGTACCTGGCAGAGTAAGCTTTCATTAAATGAATAAATTCACAATATTGTTTTTCCCCTTGAGTGACTTGATTTGAAAAGGGCATCTTATCTAACAAGCTCTTAAGTATCTGGACTACAGCCTTCTTGAAATCAGAGGAAATACCTTAATAATATTTATCTAAACACAAGATACTCCTATCATTAAATATTAGAGTTTTATTCTTCCAACAAAAACCTATCTTATCTTGCATTTGAAAATTTCTGGGCAACAGGTAAAGGTGTAAAATCATCTCTTGTCTTCAAGTGATATATAATACATAACCCATCTGTTGTTGTTCTGGCAAGATACTGGTGCCAGCTTGGACAGTGAAAGCACTGAATACATCAATTTCTTCTATGGCCAAAATGGAACTCCACAATCTGAAGCCTTCACCAATGAATAATTTAAAGCTTATACAGTTTCTGAGAAATGTTTTCTTCCTCCTTTAAGGATCAATAGTACTCCCTCTTCCTCCTTCCTCTCCCCCATGTTCCTCACCAATAGACAGGTACCATGTCTTCTCTCTGACCAGACACTTTGTTTTCCTTCTTAGAATTACCTCTCTGAACAAGACTTTGTTACTGTGTTTGGTATCACAAGAGGCCAATTTGCAGCTCTACCTGGCTGGAAACAGCTCCAAATGAAGAAAGAAAAGGGGCTTTTCTAAGACATGAAAACATATGCCTCTTGCAAGACCACAGAAGAAAGCAGATAGTGCCAATACTAGAGAGAAATGATCTACTAATTTTTGCCTAACATTCATCTATTTAATTTAGGTACAATAGGTGCGCAGATCACAGCATGTTCTCCATTTTTCTCATTCTTGCATTTCTTGGTTGTTTTGTATCTGTAATGTTAACCACTCAGTTTTTGGATGTTTGTAGCCTTCTGGTTAAAAGCCTCATTCAAAATACTAAACTGCATGAATCTGGAAAAGACAAAAGACAACTAAAATTTTAATTAGAAAATAATTCATTTAGTGCCAGGACCTAAGCTTACTTTAAGATAAGCATTTTGAAATCTATTTAACCCACAAGTCATCAGATATTTATATATACAGTGCAAAATCAAAATCCAAATGCCCAGATATGTATGTGCCACTGCATTTTTAATTTTTCAAATAAAGATACCTGGATAAGCAAATGGAGTTCTTGTCCACCTGAAGTTTTTCTGTTCTGATAATGATGTTATGTTGGGAGAAATGTGGCACTACTGGAGAATGGGGCCACCACAATTCCTTTTTTGGCAAAAGAATGTCAAAATCTGCCTTACAATTTACTACCCAGGAAACCTCAGTATTATCCTTACCCCATTAAACAAGAAAACTAATAGGCCACGTGTTATTAATTTCAGTAATGTGTGTTACTCAGAACTAGTGTGTATACCATGGCAGAGTGCCTTCAAAGCATGCCCCAAACAACAACAAATGAGCCACATTTTCCAGATAATTCTAAGTGAATCAACAATTCCAAAGGAACTCATGTGGCGGTAGCAATGCAAGTTCCCTGGGAAGTTCCAGGGTAGAAGTATAGTCTAAACATGTCAAAGTGAAAACAGAACAGTTCTATGCCACCGGAAGAGTAAACTAGGATGGGCAACTTAGAAATTTTAGGGCCACTGTGAGTGTCTGCTGAAGGGAACAGAAGCAGCATAATTACTGATTCCTGTTCTCCCAGATACTATAGCCACTTCACTAAGGCCAAGTATTATTTTCTAAAATCTCACAGGTAAAAGACACAAAAGCTAAACACAATGTTACCGTAACAAGGAAGAAAGAACGATTCTACCCTCTTTATTATAAATGTTTTTATTTAACAATTTTACCCATGGAATATATCATTGCATTATAAACTTAAAAAAAAAATCTGAGTTTGAAGACGCTTAGGAAATAACTTTGGCAATGAAGCCCTGGGCCAAAGTCTTTGAAATCTATTCAGCCTCCTCTGTCTCTTCACCTTCACCACATTCAAAGCGCACAAAGTCCACCACAGATACCCCCTGGGGCTGCACATACTGTCCCAGTGTGATTGAGGGGTCCAGCAAGTAGGGCTGGGAGAGCATCTTGGTTTCCGCCTCTCCTCCAGGCTCATCGTCTAGGGAACCAACGGTGAGAGAGGCCATGCCTACCACGTGCTGCCCAAGGCGGCGACCGAGGTCTTCGAGGTTAGCTTTCCGCTCAGATGTCTCACAGACGACCAGCGCCCCATACTTTCCCAGCACCAAGCTGCTGATCGAGGGGCTGTGCATTGCTCCATGGACATAAGAGCCAATGTAGAACCCAGACGGCACCTTCACCCATGCAGCTCGCTTAAGAGTCATGTTTTCCCCCAGGTTCCCTATAAACACGAAAAGAAAAGTCCAACACACCATCAGAATATGCCTGTAGTAGTACAAAAAATATGAACAGAAAAGGCAAAGTCTGATAGTCTTTCTGCATTTGAGTTTGCTGTAATATAGAGAGACAGCACTTCACTTTTTTTAAAAGAAAAGAGCATGTATGTCAGGTTGAGTAGCTGCAGAGTACCTCTGCTGAGCACCAGCACTGTGCCAGGCACGCTGGTGTTTAAAAAGGCAGGACCCAGTGTCAGGCAGATCCTACACACAGGTCTTAGTTTGGCCTCTTAATGTCTATATGACTTTGGCCAAGTGACTTAAAGATGTAACTGTAAATGTTGTTGTGGTTATACACTGTCTAGTCCTTACAACTCATAGTGACCTTACATACAACAGCTCTGAACCCTGTTCTATCCTGAGCCAACCTTACCATCTCTGACATACCTACTACCATTACCCCAGTCACCAAGTCTATCCATTTCATCAAGGGTCTTCCTCTCTTGCACTGTCCCTCCACCATCTCAAACATGATGCCCCTCTCCAAGGACTGGTCCCTTCTTGCAACATGCCCAAAGAATATCAGATGAAGCTTCAGAATCCTTGCCTCCAAGGAGCAGCCTAATTTCACCCTCTCCAGGATGAACCTGTTTGTTCTCCTAGCAGTCCATGGTGTACTCTTCTCCAACACCAGAGCTCAAAGGCATCAATTCTCCCTGTCATCCCTAGTCATTGTCCAGCTTTCTGATGCATAGCAAGTAATTATGAAAACCACGGCCTGGATACGGTGCAGCTTAGTCTCCAGACTGACATCAATGCTCCTGTACTAAGGAGCAGTCCCTGACAGCAGACTTTCCCAATGCAATTCATCTTTTGATTAACTAACTGCTGGTACCACGAGTGTGGATTATGAAGCCAAGCACTGAAGCTGTTAACAATCTCAATCTCTTCACTATCTATCATAATGCTGCAAATCGGCCTAGTGGTAAGAATCTTTGTTTTCTTGTTAAGCTTCAATCCATAATGAAGGCTGCAGTCCTTCACCTTCTGCAGCATGTGCTTTAGGTCCTCCTCAATTTGAGCAAGCAAAGTTGGGTCACCTGCATAACACAGGTTGTTGATGAGTCTTCCTCCAATCCTGACTCCACAATATGTAAAAGCACTTATTCTAGAACCTAGTAGCTAGTGGGTTGTGCTATCAGCTCAAAGGCAGGCAGTTGGATTACACCAACTAACTGCTCCATGGGTAAAAAGTGGGAAATCTCCCTTAAGATTTAAATTTTGGGGTGGGGGGGGAGAGTTTTAAATTTCTGAATACCCCCTGGAAGGTTCCAATTTGACAGCAATGAAAGAGAGAGAAGACACTTCTTACAGTGTCTGATAATTTGTGGGCCTTCAAATGCTGACCTTTATTATTATAATAACTACATAGAAGCTTAGTAATCTCCCAAAGTTACAAAACTAGTGAATGGTAATACTAAAATTAACGGTCAGCTTACTCCAAATCAACGAAGTCCTTTTCCCACCAAATTGCTATCCTTCCCCAATACTGTTACTAACACAGACAACTCTTGATCATTGTATCAGGAAAAAGTTCACAACTAAAAGACCCAGAAAACCTAAATAATAAAACAAACACTCATGTTATTAGATAGTATCTACTTCTCGTTTAAAAAAGGTAACATTTCCAGAACTGTTTATAAGAAAATGTAAAACCACAGAATTGTCAAAAAGAGACTACATACAACAAAGGATAGAATAAAGAAAGGGCTTTGTTTTGGCTATAATTATACCTAAAAGTCATGAAAAAGAAGTATCCAGAAACCACTCAATAATGTAATTAAACATATTAATGGATGGTAATTAATTCTATAAAACAATTATCTATGAATGATGAATGAGAAACCACCATGATTTGTAAACCATAACTCAAATAGTAAATTAAAAAAAAGAAGTGTGGTGCAACCCCTGTGGAAAGCGGTATGGCGCTTTCTCAAAAAGTTGCAAATAGAGATACCATTTGACCCCGCAATACCACGACTGGGAATATACCCAGAAGAGACCATAACTGACACCCAAGCAGATATATGCACACCCATGTTTATTGCAGCTTTGTTCACAATAGCAAGGAGTTGGAAACAACCTTAAGTGCCCATCAACAAACAAATGAATAGAGAAGCTGTGGTATATTCACACAATGGAATACTATGCTGCATTGAAAAAAAAGAACCCATGCCAATATTATTCAAAATGGGACCCTGGAGGACATTATGCTGAGTGAAGTATCTCAGTCACAAAAGGACAAATACTGCATGGTGTCACTGTTGTAAAACAAGACTGACATCGGGGCTGGGGAGAGACTGAGAAAGATGGGTTCAATAATGTATATTGTATTGAAACAGATGAGGGAGAAAACTGTTTAATAAGGGATATGTGATTAGGTACTTTTGTCATGACAGGAGACCAGAGCGAAGTCTGCATAGTAGAGTGGACCTGGGAGGGAGGGATTGTAAAACAATGAAAGAATTTTTCTTTTACTTTTCCAAGAGGGTAATGTACTGGGAGTGGAAGGGGGGCTGGGGGGGGAGAAAAGTGCAATAATGAATCAATGGGAACTAAAACAAGCTGCTACTCAAAAGTGTCTACCTTGGTGAGCTCTGGTGGCCTAGTGGCAAGAAGCTGCACTGCAATCCCAGAGGTGAGCAGTTCAAATCCACCAGATGCTCTGCTGGAGAAGGAGGGACAATCTCCTCCTGTACCAGTCAGATCCGATTTGACAGTACATATACACACAAATAATAATTTAAAAAAAAAATTTTTTTTAAAAGTGTCTACCCAGTAGTTAATTCTCAGAAATGGACCCTAAAGTACCCAGTTCGTCCAGAATTTCTTAATAAGTTGTCTGTCACACAGTGCTATCTGCTGGCTTCCCATCCATGACTCACTGAGTCATCATGACCTCATAAAAACAGAAGTAGTGCCTTGCCTGGAAACTTCATTATAGCAGTTAAATTCCCAGCAAGCTCAATCCCAGGCCTATTTTTCTGCATCAATCAAGGCCATGAAGGCAGAAAGGAAAACCCCCACTAGTCCCACTACCATAATCCAAATATGGCTCTTAGAGCCAGTGAATTTGAGGAGAACAACAGAATGCAGGATGAGATCAAGTTCCTAAACATTTTCCTGAGTTCCTTTATAAAGATGGAATGAGTTTTAATGTACTAATTCTCCTAAAGTGTACAGCAAGGTTCCCATCTGGAAGTCAAAAGGTCATCTCTTCATCTCGAGCTAAAGACATGCTTTTTCTGGCCAGCACCTAATGGCCTACATTAGATGAAAATAGTATCAGCTGCAAACAGCTAAAACATGGGAGTTGTTTGGTTTGGTTTTTTTTATACAAATCTAAAATCTTTAAAAGGATTCCAAAATGCCATTCATTTCCCCCAATACAATTAACTAGGGATTGGTAATCACTGAAAATTTTAATCATAGTACAACTAGTGCTCCTGGGACAAAAAAGGGGAAAGTAAAATTTCTAGGTATACCTTTTTTATAGTTTTAATCTTTGAGACCTTGTTCTTTTTTTTACATTCATTAAAAAATAAAGTCAACAGGATTTGGAGGAAAAACTTAAACGAACTTAAACATGTATTACTCCTTCAGCCCGGCATGAGTTCTTCAGGGCTTTCTACTCTCCCTTCCTAGCATCTAACACACAACCTGTTTCTACACTGAGACTGCCTGCTCCTTAAAGAAGGAGCTCTGCTGGCGTAGTCCATGGGAAATTACAATGTTAACCCAAAGGCCCAGCCTCTCCAGTGGCTCAAAACTAACAACAGCTCCAAGAGAAAAAGATGGGCAATCTTCTCCCATGTAATTTACAGTCTCAAAAATCCAATGGTTCTCACTCTATGACAGTGAGTTTTTGAGAACCTTATAGGTAAGAGATGTATCCTGTCTCTTTACTTTTTCAATTGCATATGCAAAAGAGATCATTCAGGAGGCTGGACTTTATAAGGAGGAATTTAGCATCAGGATTGGAAGAATACTCATCAACAACCTACATTATGCAAATGACAATGTTGCTTACAGAAACTGAGAAGGACCTGAGGCGTTTGCTGCAGAAGGACAAGTCTTCAATATGGCTGAAGCTCAATATCAAGAAGACAAAGATTCTCATCACTGGGCCAACTGGCACCATCATGATAGATGGAGATCAACTTTGTTAATTTCAGCTTGCTAAGCTCCAAAATCAACCCTCTTGGCACCAGCAAGCAGGAAATCAAAAGACGAATTGCACTGGGAAAATCTGCTGTCATGGACCTCTCCAGAGTAATAAAGAGCAATGATGTCGGTCTAGAAACCTGATCATTGCCATGGTCTTTACAACTACTTGTGATGCATCAAAGAGCTGGACAGTGACTAAGGATGACAAAAGAATTGATGCCTTTGACTGGTAGTTCCAGAAAAGAGTACTGAACATGTCAAGAGAACAAACAGGTCTTTCCAGAGAGGGTGAAACTAAGTAGCTCCTTGGAGGCAAGGATTTTGAAGCTCTCTCTCACATAGTTTGGGCATTTGTCTAAAAGGGACCAATCCTCAGAGAAGGACATCATGCTCAGAAGGGTGGAGGGACAGCACAAGAGAGGAAGACCCTGAATGGGATGAACTGACACATGATAGGGCAGAGTTCAAAGCTATCGTGCACAGGGTTGCTATGAATCACAGGCAACCTGATGGCAAATACAACACCACAGGTAAAAAGAGTCTGTAATTCTTGATCTAGATTGGAAGAACACTAAGAGGTCCAATCTTTCATTTTCAGTTTCCACAATCTTTACAAATACTTACCAATTGCTAATGCCAACTGATCTTTGAGAACGCCTTCTCTGTCAGGTACAGCTCTAAGTTCAGAGAGCTCAGAGGAATTCAGAAAGCCCTGAGGACACAAAACACACATGAATTGACTTTGCACTTTAAAGTATGACAATAATAGCAAAAAAGCCAACATTTCTCAAAAATTATTTCAGGTAAGTATAAATAGATGATATTGTCATTAAACGACATTAAAAAAAAAGTTCAGTTAAGTCCATTTTTACAGGTCTTCTACCAGTGAACCACTCCAATTCCATTCCACTTCGATCATTTAGTCTAACTCCTTAGAATGCAATTTCCTAGAAATCAGGAACATATTTTTATATTCATAAATTAAAGCTAGGCTCTGGTGGCCTAGTGGCAAGAAGCTGCATTGCAATCCCAGAGATACGCAGTTCAAATCCACCAGATGCTCTGCTGGAGAAGGAGGGGCAATCTCCTCCTGTACCAGTCAGATCCGATTTGATGGTACACACAAAAAAAAAAATAAAAGAAAATAAAATTTAAAAAAAGAAGGAAGGCAAATCTAAAATATTAAAGCTAGAAGGTTTATATAAAGTGCTGGGAATGTAAAATGATACAAACTCAATGGAGGAAAATTGGAAAATATCTAACAAATCCATATTTTATCCTACAATCTGTTTCATCATTAAGAATAACCCTGAGCAAGGAGAAGCTGTGGTATATTCACACAATGGAATACTACACTGCATTGAAAAACAAGAAACTCATGCAATATTATTCAAAATGGGTGACCCCGGAGGACATTATGCTGAGTGAAATATCTCAGTCGCAAAAGGACAAATACTGCATGGTGCCACTGCTGTAAAATGGGACTTATATCAGGGTTGGGTTAAGACTGAGAAACACTGGATAAATTGTGTATACTGCACTGAAACAGATGAGGGAGAGAATAATTTAAAAGCGATGTATGATAGGGTATTATGGTTATTACAAGAGCCCACAATTTTAAAAAAGAAAAAGAATAACCCTGAAGGTACACCGCCAACATTAATAAAAGTACTTGTTTGTTACTGCTGCTGTTAAGTGTTATCTGTCAAGTAATGTATGACTCATGGCAGCCCTAATAACAGTAAATCCAAACTTTGCCCTATCCTGTACCATCTGCCCACTGCTACAGATATTATATCAATCTATCTCATTGAAGGTCTTTTCTCCTTCACTACCCTCCTCTACCCTCCCAAGCATGATGCCCCTTTCCAAGGAACAGTATCTCCTAGCAACACATCCAAAATGTGAAATGAAGCTTCACCATCTTTGCCTCCAAAGAACACTTGGGTTGTAGTTTCTCGAAGACAATAAGAAGAATAAAAGTACTAAAGCATAAAGTTATTCATGGAGACAACAATTTTAATTGTAAAATATTGGAACCAATCTGAATGTCCAAACAAAAGATTATTTCCAAGATAGACCTGTTAAAAAGGAAAAAAAGTATTAAAAAAGAATATATACATATTGTGCCACAGATGACTATAAACCAGTGAAGCTGTTTATCTACAGGACTAAATGGGAATGGAGTATTAGGCAAAGAAGACCAAAAATCCACTGCCTTTGTGTCAATTCTGACTCACAGCAACAGGGCAGGATTACCCCACCAGGCTTCTAAGTCTGTAATCAGAATGAAAGCAGACTGTCACATTTCACTCTCTCGGAGTAGTTGCTGTTTTGAACTGCAGTTCAAATGTTAACAAAGGATAAGTCTACAAAGAGTCCTTTGGAATTGTATCAATTTGAAGTTTTTAAAAATAAAAGTTAAAAAGGGGGGAAACAACTGAAAGGGACATGAATGGCTCAGGGTTATAATTATCAGTAAAGCCAAGACTAGCATGTTTAGTCATCGACTCAGCTCATTTCTAAAAAGTCATTCCATCACTCTTTTCTATGTAATATGACTACAACTACTTAGTGCCAATAATAGATGGAGAAAAGACTGAAATAGTCAACAATTTCAACTTGGAACCACAAACAACACCATTGTTAGCAGCAGTCAAGAGATCAGGAGACGTATTGCACTGGGAAAGTCTGTAGTCAAGAACCTCTTCAAATTACTGAGAAGCAATGATGTTAGTTTAAGGACTAAGGTGTGTGTGCCTGATTCAGGCCATAATCTTTTCAGTCACTTATTACACATCTGAGAAGTGGACCTTGACCAAGGATAAAAGAAGAAGAATTGATGTCTTTAAGTAGTGGCGCTGGAGAAGAGAACAGAATGTCAAAAGAAGAAACAAATATATTTTGAACAAAGTACAGTGAAGTGCTCCTTGGAGGGTAAGGTGACAAAAGCTTTGTCTCACATACTTTGGGAATGTTACTAGGAGAGGCTATTCCCTGGGGAGGGACAGCTTGCTTGGAAAGGTAGAGGGTTGCTAAAAGAGAGAAAGACCCTCAACCAGCTGGACTGGCATAGTGATTGTCACAATGGGCTTGAGTGTGTCAAAAACTGTGAGGCTGGCACAGGATAAGACAGGGTTTAGATCTGTTGTTCATAGGGTCAATATGGGTCTGACTCAACTTGATGGCACCTAACAACAACAACAATGCAATAATAATTACATTTACCAAAGGTGTCAAGAAGATGAACAGTAGTAACAGGCAGTAATAAGCCAGTGATTATTCATTAATAGGTTCATTTTGACGATAAAACTGAACCAAAGGCAGACTGATTTAATTTCTACTTTGGTTCTTTTTTGGAAATGCTTATCAATCTCGAGTGTCTCATTAAGGAGCCCTCCAACTGTGCAGTCCACTGGGGGCTACACTGCTAACCCAAAGGTGGCAACATGGGAAGAAGATAAGCAATCTCCTCCTGGGTGATTTACAGCTTTTGAAAACCTGCTGGAGGGTCAGCTATGGCTCAGTTCTGACTGAACAGCAATGGGAGAAAGAAAAGAATAAAATCAACGTCCAATCTTTCTATTTAGACTCCTTTTCATCAAACCATCCCAGAATTCTGAACATAAAGCCTCAGATGCTTTCACTTGATTTGATTAACTCTACCTCCCTGTCTTTCCCAAATAACAAACACTACAGCTTTCAGAATGGATTACATCTAAACAATAAGAAAACATAAACCCTCACAATTTGATCAGCAAACAACAATAAAATAGACAAACCTGTTCATTTTCTTAGCAGTCCATGGTATATTCAATACTCTTCTCCAGCACCACAGCTCAAAGGCATCAATTCTCTATCTACCCTAGTCACTGTCCAGCTCTCTGATGCATAGCAAGTGACTGCAAAGACTGTGTCTCTATCAGGTGCACCTTATTCTCCAGAGTGACACCACTGCTCTTCAGTACCCTGAAGAGGTCCCTAACAGCCAACTTTCCCATCGCAATACATCTTTTCATATCCTGACTGCTGGTGCCAAGAGTGTTGACTGTGGAGCCAAGCCATATTGTCAAGTAAGGTCATTCCCCAGAGGAAGACATCACGGTTGGTAAAGTTCAAGGTCAGCAAAGAAAAGGAAGCCCTTCAACAAGATGAACTGATACAGTGGCTAGAACAATGGGCTTGATCGAGCATAGCAGCATAAAGGTAGCAAAGAACTGGGTAGTGTTTTGTTCTGTTGTACGTGCTGTGAGCACTCTGAGTTGAATCTAACAACATGACAGCACCTAACAACAATAATAAGCACCCATCAGCACTCTTTCACTCATTTAATGAAGATTTACTAAGTGCTGAGTCCAATCCTATTTCACTAGAGACGTTGTTGTTATGTGCCGTCGAGTCGTCTGCGACTCATAGCGACCCTATGCACAACAGCCCTAAACCCTGCTCTATCCTGCGACAACTGCACTGCCTCTGACACACCCATCCCAATTACCCCAGTCA